TCAAGTCAAGGAGGATGAGGTGGGCAGCGCATGTAGCACGAATGGGTGAGAAGAGGAATGCATATAGGATATTGGTGGGAAAGCCAGAAGGAAAGAGACCACTGGGAAGACCAAGGAGTAGGTGAGTGGACAATATTAGAATGGATCTTAGAGAGATAGGATGGTATAGATTGGATTGATGTGGCTGAGAATATGGACCAGTGGAGGGCTCTTGTGAACATGGTAATGAACTTTCGGGTTCCATAAAATGCTGGCTGAAGTGGCTGAAGATTTGACTTCTCCTCAAGAAGGGCTCAGCTCCATAAGTAAGTAAGTAAATAAGTAAGTAAGTAAGTAAGCCGCGCCATAGCTCAAGCGGTTAGTCCCTGTTTTCCCAATGCGGCGGCCCGGGTTCGATCCCGGGTCTGGTCAAGTGAGATTTGTGGTGGACAAAGTGACGCTGGGTCAGGTTTTCTCCGAGTACTTCGTTTTCCCCTGCCAATCTTCATTCCACCAATTGCTCCACAATCATCCTCACCTATCATCTGGGGCTGGTACAATAGGCCAGAAGTGGCCGCAGTACAAGGGACTTAGTCCCACCCCACTAGCATTAAAAAAGTAAGTAAGTAAGCAACTGAGAGGAAGAAATTAAAGAGAAATTCAAAATACGCTTTTTAGCAAAATGTTAGCCCAAGTAGAGGAGCACATAGTTTTCTGATGGGTTTAAACCTGACTCAACTGCACTGGCTGTTAGACCTACAGTCATCTCCACGAATCTAATATGCGTATTGAGGCAGCAGATTCCTCCGAAACATTGGAAACGATCTCTCAGATTACATGGTGTCGCTTCACAGAAGACACTGAACTTCATCTCTGGCAGAACTGTGACCACATATGAGGTCCTGGCAAAATGAGGACTATCTGATTGGAGTGCTGTAGTACTGTTTGACAGTGACTGTGATAAGGTCAGATTTCTGAACGTAGGTGCTGTCTGTGTTCTGGAGGGCCGAGTTTCCTCTTGCCCTAGACACGTGTAGGGAGCAATGACCTCGGCCCACATTACCTGGCGCATACTGCGTAATGAGGGAGTGACGTTGAACAAGCTAGCTAACAAACTAACCAATTAAATTAACAACGAAGTAACTAAGTGACAAACCGAGTACCTAACCAAAAAGTCGCCAACAAAATCAAGGATAAACTTGGTAATTAACCAAATAAACCAAAACTAAGTAACCAACCAGCTAATTAATCACCTAATCAACAGAGTAAGTAACTAAACACGTGAGTAACTAAGGTCAAGCTATCCCTGTAACAGGACGTGGAGGCCCATAGGGTTGTGACACGTCGAGTCTCTCACAGTTTCTAGACAATCGGCTCACAGATGGACGTGAGTTTATCAGCCTTATGTGTCGACCGCCCTTTATCCCCAGAAAGATTCTTGGTATTCATTTACATTAGAAGCTGAATCAACTCCCAGTGCCATAGTGCAGCTGGAACGATTAGGTCAATTGAAAAGTCCAATGACCTTATAGGGAATCGAGACCGTGACCGTCCGGCTTCTAGCATAGCGACTCACCCAAATACGCTAATGGGTAACTAGAAAAATGATAAATAAATAACCAACCAGCTGATTTACCAACTAACCAATATAGTAACTAAGTAACGAAGTGAGTAACTAACTATATGAAAATTCAATAACCAACCAGCAAATTAACCAAGTAAATATAAGGCTATTATTTAACCAAGCAAATAACTATTTAAATGAACAAAGTAACAAAGTAATAAATCAAATGAGTAAGAAAATGAACAAATAAGAGAGTGAGCAACTAAAAAAGTGACTAACCTACTATGCAACAAACTAAGCAGCCAAACAACTGGCTAACCTCCAAGACAAAGTAACTAAAACGCTATATTTTAACGTGTATACCCACTGATAGGCAACGGCACAATAAACACCTACACGCCTAAGCGCGTGACAAAAATGCAGGACCGTTGCTAGGTAGCTGCCAGCACGCCAATGAACTGGCTGGGTAGTGATCACGTGGGGACCGCAAGATAGACGCACGCAACTATGGAGGAACTGTGTTTTCTGCGAATGATCGGTGCAAAGTGGTTATACGAAGAGTTAGGCAGGACAATAGCAGTAGTAGATGGAATATAGCGGAATACACAACAATAGTCGATAGTAGTTTTGAATTGGCAACTACAGAAATGGAAAGAAAGGAATTAAAAGACTTAGCGTGTGATTTGAAGTTACAGTGAGCCTGTGATGAATCCGCTGCCAAGAGACGACTAGTGAAGATGGAGAATTCTAGTGAGTGTGCAACGGTGAGCTGGAAAGTGCGTAGAATAGCGATAGCCTAATCCCGAACTGTGTAAAGTATAACTGGTAATAAATAAAATCATCCAATTTTTTTTATTGCTAGTGGGGTGGGATTAAGTCCCTTGTACTGTGGCCACTTCTGGCTTATTGTACCAGCCCCAGATGATAGGTGAGGGTGATAGTGGAGCAATTGGTGGAATGAAGATTGGCAGGGGAAACAGAAGTACTCGGAGAAAACCTGCCCAGCGCCACTTTGTCCACCACAAATCCCACCTGACCAGACCAGGGATCGAACCCAGGCCGCCGCGGTGGGAAGCCAGCGACTAACAGCTTGAGCTATGGAGCGGACTATATCTTCCAATAGAGAACCCGTTGTTAGTCAAGGAACACCGGACACGTTGCAATATTTGAGTGAACAAGCAAGTAACTCACTAACTAACCAATAAAATAAGTAGCTAATCAGCTAGGTAATAGACTAAAGATACAAGGAGCTAAGTAAACAGTAATAAAACCAAATAATTAAGTAACCAAAATAATTGAAAATAAACTAAATAAGCAATATATTGAATAGTCTACTAACCAAATAATAAACTAGAATTCTAATTAACTTGCGAATGTAACTCCGACGAAGCAGAATACTATCTGAATAACTAGGTAATTAGCTAACTGACATGTGGGTTCATACAAGGAAATTTTCCTTCTGCACCTGAATGTTTTACCTAGGGGGAAAAAAGTGAGTCCCAAATAATTGTTGTAAAACCACCTGCAGTCTTCATCGGATAAATGAAATTTCATATTTATTTCACAAGAAATTTTCCGTCTTTTATTCGAGTAGCTCATGAGCCGCCAAATTCTGAAAAATAATAGTAAATAGGTACACCATTCTAGGTGAAGCTTGTAGTTTCCTACATAATTTTACTGCTGACTAGAGAGGGGTATTGTCCTGACATGCACAGATCTATTGAACTTATTCTGTGATGAGAGAACACTTGGGAATATGAAAAGCGCTAGAAGCAAAAACGGGAATATTATATTGTGTATTGTAATATCTTGTCACGCAATATTGTGAAACCATCTGGAAAGCACAAAGCATCAGATCTGATTTAATCTCTTAGAAACTGAATTGTGTGTATAAAAATTTAGTTCGTACCTCACAGACCAACCGATCAAATCTTTTAGGGAAGCAATAGCTGACGATCGCTGACTGACTGCTAAATTGCTGCTGTTGGTTCCGAGTCCCACGGGACTCATGAATATATTTTACTTCTCTCGCGGCTCTATGAGTCTCCAGAGTGAATAATGTATAAGATTTTTTCTCTCCGCTTGTTCTTTGCAGCATAGGGCTCATTTCTCAGTTTCATGATCGTTTTTACAGACGGTAGGACTCCTTGGACGAGTGATCAGCTCATCGCAAGGCCTCTACCTAAACACTGGAAAACACAAACACAGAATAAACACACACACACACCAAATACCCATGCCTTGAGTGGGATTCGAACCCAGGATCCCAGCTTCCGAGAGAGCGAAGACAGTTCATGCCTTAGACCGCTCGGCTACCTTGACCGGCAAGTATAAGAGTAATAATAATATATAACAATTCAGTCCCTACCTCACAGGAAACACATTACGTCTCCGCTACAAAGCCCACCCGGTTAATGCTGCTTAGGGAAACAGTCACTGTTTATTGTGAGAACCGTACGGAACACACAGACACTCTGTGGGCAGAATGCAGAGTTTTAATATGTTAAAGTAGGTGGTATATATAGTAGCCACTTGGTTTTAAAGGTTTAATGTAATAATTAACGATATTTAAATTATGTATCACACTAAAATCAATATGCGAATACTAAATGTGTTCTACCGTGACAAAACTATTTCATCATGAAACATGATGAAAAACATAATTTGCCATAGTTGACATAATGATGAAAAATATTCAGTTTATGAAACGCGCTTTCTTTTTCAGTGCCCCTTCCAGCCCATTCAGGGCCCAGGCCTCTTATACAGTTCCTTAATCATTTTTCACAGACAGCAGGACTCCTTAGGAGAGTGATCAGCCCGTCGCAAGGCCTCTACCTAAACACAGGACAACACAAACACAGAATAAACACACATCAAACATCAGTGCTCTGAGTGGGATTCAACCCCACAATCCCAGCGTCCGTGCGAGCGAAGAAAGTTCATGCCTTATACTGCGCTGCTACTGTGACCGGCATTAAACGCGCTTAAAGCACGAAGATGTGTGTAGAGTGATCACAAATGGCGTGACTAACTATACTGGAAAATGAACTAAAGTAGACACATAACATTAACAGTAGTAAGTGCTCCAGTGGTTGCGGCGTCTAATGAAGAATCACCTGCAATTGTAACGCTCTCTGGAAAATAAGTATTCTTTTTAATTCAAGATAAAGACAAAGAATATTCTGATTATAAGAAGCGTTAAGTGGCTGAAAAAATATCTTAGATATTTACTTCCGCAACTCACATGAAATTACGAAGCACGCTGTACAAAATAAGGCGATTTTCATGTGTCAGACGTAGTGAAATCATAAAGCAGGTTATGAAACGCGCTAAGAAAACCCGTGTCGTTGCTGAGGGTGTGAAAGTTGACTACGGATTGTTTCGATATAATTCTGCGCGCTAATTCGAGCCACTGCTGATCGACTATCGAACAACCGATGATGTCATACATCACGCAGTTACATTCCCAAGGAGGAGCTGTGCGATGCTTGGTTCTTACGTCTGTGATATGTTTGTGTATTTTATATGTGTTATAAGCTGTGTTTATTGCTGTAAGTTGCGTTTCTGATTTCATTAACATTAACTGTTAATATTAATTTACTGTGAGAAAATTGTTATGAAAAGATATGGAGAAATTTGAAAGTTATGTTATCCATCGATCAAAATGGCTCGGTAAGTTATAGAAGCAACATAAAACATTCGTTGTACAGTTGAAATCTGCTTGTCTGCTTAATTTCATCATCCGATAAACGTATTATGTAGAGTAAAAAACCACATACCTTCTACGTAAGGTATTATTCCTTTCCATAATAAGATTTAGCACAAGCTTCTTTCGTTTTTCGCCTTCCACATATCACCATGTTGAGAGTGTTCCTTTAGTTACTAGTTATTCTACAAGAATAAATCGTACATGTTCATACTGTGCCGTGAAATATTAAAGAATTAATTTTTATAAAGGCGAGGGTACGCCAGGGAACTGGCAACCGCAGTTCAACTGCAATTTCCGAGAACTGTTATCAGCCTGAGTTGAACACTTGTTATTGAATGGAGCAGCGCAAATGTAGACTGATAACAGTTCTCGGAAATTGCAGTTGCATTGCGGTTGCTAGTTTCCTTCCACGCCCCAACAGTTTTAAGTAATAAACAAATGTAAGGGGGACTAGTAAATACAGTCATATAATAATTTTTTTAAACTGATTTTCTTATTCTTCAAACCGAGTAAATTGGATTGTATTTGGGAGCTGAAGTGTTAGAATGTCTGCCGGGTCGATCATCCTGACAGGGGTAATTTTGCAGTTTCTCACAGTTCCTCAAGGAGAATGCTGGGATAGCATCTTGAAATAGTATGACACCGTTTCTTCCACATCATTTCTGTTTTGTTATTTATTAATTATCCAACGTTCGACGCTATAATAATTTGATCCCTAACAGTGTTAAATAAATGAAGAATATCATTTCAGGAAAATGAAATCTCTTATATCCATTTAAGATGATAAGACTTTTCTTGTTATGTGTGAACCATTTTGTCTAATGTTACCATCGGATAAAGATGTATTAGAATGAAAAATGAAACAATAGGGTAGAATTATACTCTGAATAAGCCATGTAATTTGTAGAAATATTTTCTTTCTAAGGCAGTGATCTGAATTTTTATTATTATTTTTTTTAATATTTCATTTTATGAATGATAATTCCCGAAAAATGTTTGTGACAGGTTTCTGAGGTTAGTTAATATTGCTACTATCAACATTATTATGAACCAAACTTTACTTGAAAACTTCAAACGCCTTTTGTCCATATATAACTTTTTAAGTTTAAAAGTATTTCATACAGTTTGACCCATATCTTTTAATCAGCATTCTAGCTTTATAGAACCCTAAGTTTCAGCACCGATAATAAAAAAGTGCAGTCTGGCATGGTTTTGACTAAGTTGAAGCCACATTACAGCCCGAGCTACATTTTAATGTTACCCTCCCATCTCTTTCACGATCTTCCAAGAGGGCTTTTCCTACATGCTTTTTTTTTGCAGATATTATAATGCAATAATCACATTCTTTTTTCTTCATAGCATGAAATATGTGTTGGAGAAAACTGCATAATGAGGAGCTTCATAACTTGTACTCTTCTCCAAGTATAATTAGAATGATGAAGTCAAGGAGGATGAGGTGGGTAGGGCATGTAACACGAATGGTGAGACGAGGAATGCATATAGGATATTGGTGGGAAAGCCAGAAGGAAAGATACCACTGGTAAAACCAAGGCGTAGGTGGTGGACAAAATTAAAATGGATCTTCGAGAGATAGGGTGGATTTGATTGATCTGGCTCAGGATAGGGCCCAGTGGAGGGCTCTTGTGAACACGGTAATGAACCTTCGGGTTCCATAAAATGCTGGGAAATTCTTGAGTTCCTGCAGAATTGGCGGCTCCTCAAGAAGGGCTGAGCTCCGTGAATAAGTAAGAAAGTAAGTAAGTAAACGTGAAATATGTGAACTCATCTCATTAAATCTTTTATTGCTATAGGTAATTGCTCCGAATCAAGATTTAAGTTCTTTACTGCAGGTTTATACCTGTCCTTCCACACTTTTTTGTTTCTGTTCAGTGGCCAGAAACATGATGTAAAATTTAGACCTTGAATATTATATATGTAGAACATACTCATTCTGAATATATTTCAGAAGATCCTATATTTTCAGTAAAACTTAGATCACTGGACGCTGTTGGTATCCTACATGAAATCTATGTTTGGCACAGTAGACTTATATTAATATTGCTAGACAATGAAGAAAAAACATGAATCTCATGACGTATCTGGTCTTAGGAGCTCATCAAAACAGCAAAAGACTTTCTCGAGTAGATGAACAACTTGGCGACTTTTGAAGAGTGGTCTGTAGTTAAGTTCTTAGTTGTTTGTAGGATTATTTCTTTATCTACAATTTGAATAATTTTCTTCCTGGGTAGACATTATTATTGTTATTATTATTGTCACCTAATTATTCTACCATCTATTCGGCTACAGCTCAAGTAGGCTATTTCATACAGGCAGGTCAACTCAAATATATTTGCTAAATGTAATTTATGTAGTTAATTGATTCAGCTGATTCAGTCTGATTTTAATTTCATCTGTTTTCTGCTACTGTTTCGCAATGAAGGCGTTCTGAATTAACTTGAATTAACTATCTAACTTCTTGGAGCTGAGTCCTTGAGACGCCGCCAGTTATGTAGATATTTAAGAATTTCCAAGCATTTTACGGAACCCTAGGGTTCATTACCGTGTACACAAGAGCCTTCCACTGGTCCCTATGCTGAGCCAGATAAATCCAGTCCATACCACCACCATCCTATCTCTTGAAGATTCATTTTAATCTTATCCACCCACCTGTGTCTTAGTCTTTCCAGTGGTCTCTGGTCTGGCTTTCCTACCAGTATCCTATATGCATTCCTCTTCCCCCTTTCGTGCTACATGCCCTTCACACCTCATCCACCTTGACTTGATCATTCTAATTATTCATGGCGAATAGTACAAGTTATGAAGTTCCTCATTATGTAGTTTTCTCCAACCTCCTGTCACTTCATCCCTCTTCGGTCCAAATATTCTCCTCAGCACCCTGTTCTCAAACACCCTCAGTCTATGTTCCTCGCTTAATGTCAGAGACCAAGTTATACAGCCATACAAAACCAGAGCAAAATTATAGTTTTGTGTGCTGTAATTTTAACGTTTTTAGAGAACAGACGAGAAGACAAAAGGGTCGGAACTGAATGGCAGCAAGCATTGCCCAAATTCAGTCTCCTCTTAATTTCCTCCTGAATCAAATTTTGAGCAGTATGTATGTATAATTAACAAATATTGTTCATCTGCACAGAAAGGAAGTATTATTTCAATGTAATTTATTTTCCGTTAAAATAAGTGGAGCTTGTAATTCTGTTAACAGTTACTACTTCACTTATATTTCCATACTTAACAAAATTATCGGCTATTTCACAGGCTTCTGTATCGCAGTGGAAAGTAAGTAAGACAATGTTGAAATTCTGAAGCAGGGTATTCAAGATAAAGGCAAAATTTGTCCTGTGCTTAATTAATTAAGCACTAGGTCATAAAGATATCTGGGGAGTGGAGGTATAGCTCAGACATTCTTGACTTCGGTCTTAGATGGAGGTGAATTGACAGTTTCACTCTCCTGCCGCTTTACCCCTGGGGAAATCGGCCTCAGTATTCATTGGATAGGAGGCTGGGTGACCTTAGAGGCAGTTTGGACGCTATGGAGAAGAGATAAATTTTGCTCCTGCCGAGAATTGAACCCCAGTCGTTCATCTCTTAGCCTATCGTTATACCGACTGAACAGTTTCGACTCTTCGGGTATTTAAGGTGCCCGTTAAAATTTTTACGGAACCCTTGTCCTATTTTATTCTTCACTTCCACCCCAAAACTTAACAAATTATGAGTTGCAACAGTAAAAGTGGATGTGCAGACAAAGTGAGGCAGTGGAAGGCAAACCCCAGTTGATTGCGCGTTTCATTTTATGAAGCTTTATAATTATGGGATATGCATTTTGTTGTGTTCTGTTTTGAAAGCGCGCAGTCAGTTTATTAGGTAAAAATGGTGAAATTCTGCAGATGATAAGTTATTCCATAAACAATAATGGTCATTTAGAATGTTCCATGGAACTCTACATGTTGATATTCCGAAAACATGTAGTACTTTTCTTAACACTTGTGACGCAACTTTATAAATGTGAACTCTTCAGTGATCGATCAGTGTTGATATGCTGAAATATGAAATGTTTTATCAGCGAATTACCAAAGACTGTTCTCTCGCGTGAATGCTTCTTGGTATTAGCGTGTGTAGTGAAATTATGAAGTGAAGGATTCAACATAGGATCTTATCAACGGCTGACACGTTCCAGCGAGGTCGGACTTCGAACCTGGGACCCACCAACAGGAGCGACACACAGACCGTAAGTGTATCTGTTCTAAATACTGCTAACTGAACACTTAGTGATTGAGGGCCCATCTACAGAAGGATGGGCTGAGTACTTGCACCAAATCAGGTACACCAAACTTTCAACAGAGCTTTATCATGTCGGTCATGATAATAACATATTACCGTAACAGTAGCCACCATGACGCAAGGCTTAGGTTAAAGTCAATTTGAAAACAACGTGAATATCATATTTTTTATTATTAACGTTATTAATCTGTAGGATGATTTTGGTCTCGGTTCTCCACCTTAAGTTAGGTGCCTAAAATAAAATTAAAGGTGGATTTTATGAATTAGCTTTTTATGCACAATTAACCCTTCTTCGCGTAACCTGTTAGCCAGTCTTCATGTGGTAAAATGCGACTTTTGTTTGGAAGGTTTCAGTTTTATTATGTGTATTTTCTTATACGACAGGGTTGACGAATGCATGGTGGACACGAACAGAATGGTTTTAAGATATTGAAATAAATCTCTCTCAGCGACTACAAAATGATCGAAATTTAAAAATCTCGCGCTATATCGCTATCTTTGAAATTAACACCTGTCTGGAGTGGGGCGTCATGTTTATATTTAATAACTTATTATGAAATACGGTCAGCAATTTAAAATTAAATGCAGTTCGAAGAAAATGATTTATATTATTATTTTATATTATGTAAGTTCAGAATAGTGTTTATGGGTTTTGTGACTTATGGAAATAATCAATTTAAATGAAATGCCAGAATGTGTGAATATTATATAAAATAAGACGAACACATCATAACTAATTTAACTTTAAAATTTTATCAAAAGCTATGTACAGTATACTTAAATAGTGGCTTAAGAATTACGCAGGATACCCTAATTGATTTGCTGTTAATTCTCGCCTGTATGATTTTTTTTAGTACGCTACTTTTATTTTGATGCGAGACTTCTAGTTTTCGGGAATACGCTGCGTGGAGTGTTCAGCAAATATATCGTTTGCCAACTTCATGGTTAATATCTTTGGAAGAATTTTGGAATCCCGTACACAGCTCTCGCAGTGAAGCTGTGACTGTCCAATCAGAGGCACAGTTTCTGGAGATGCTGTTGAACATCGATTTTCTTAGTTAGACATTTTATTATTTTTCTTCACGTGCATTGAATATATAACTGCATAGCACCAAGAAGATTTGAGCAAAAACAGACCTGTTGATTGTTGTAATCGCAAAGAAATATTAACATATACACATTGTTGTACATTGTTCTTTGTTGGAAAACAGATGAATGTAATAAATGTAATGTAATGTATTAAACCCAACAATTAAAGTATAATTCTATATGTTCTAATGGAGTGTTAGGCCTGAAGATATTCTTTGACGTCTCAACTGTTGCCTTTTAATAATGTCGAGTTTTACTGAATTATAAAAATGGCTGTGTTGTTTGATTTTTTCATGTTTCTGTTTCTTCGATTTGTCATATTTGCGTAAGGTTATAAGAGAATAAGTGATGACAACTTTCCTCCATTCAAACACAAACATAAAAATTCCACGAAATTCGCAAAAGAGGTCTGTGTTTTGGAGCGGAACTGGCCGGCACGCGATACATTTGCAGCGACCTAAGAACACAAACTTTATTTGTCGATTAACTTCGGAAGTAATTTCGAATTGGTTGTAATTGATTTTGCTTGCAATACCCGTAGAAACCGTGATATTTCTTTTTATTGAGTTGGACATTTTATCTCGTCTTTTAACTTCAAAGAAGAAATGGTATTTCAAACTGAAGGCTTTGTTCAACGTGGATGTTGAGGAACGTAGCTTGTCAAACCAATATTTGTTCTTTCGAATTTCACACTATCTGACTGAAGAAAATCAAGAGGCGCATGAAAGAAAATAATTGACCGGTAAGTACTGCATTCTTCTAACTTTCAGAATTAATTATACTAAACTCCTTTGTTGTTATAGTTGCTGCCCGTGTGCTACTTCCTCCGGATATTCCTTGCTTCCTAGTGGCCAGCGAGTTCACTAAAGCCTGATGATTATGACGTAACGTTTTATTAACAGATAAAATCTACAAATTCGAAGGGATCATTTTATTTTTTAACCGAAATAATCATCAAGTTTAATTATCCTTATTATTAAAGCACCCGTCAATAATGCAACAATATTTTCTTGAAATATAAAAGACATCTAAAATAGATAGACGATAGACAGCCGTTCACGGTAGCCGAACGGTCTAAGGCATGTACTGTCTTCGCTCTCTTGGAAACCGGGACCGTGGGTTCGGATCTGTTTCCTGTGAGGTACGGACTGAATTCTTCTATATTATTCTTATACACTGCCGGTCACGGTAGCCGAGCGGTCTAAGGCCTGTACTGTCTTCGCTCGCTCGGAAAACGGGACCGTGGGTTCGAATCCTACTCAGGGCATGGATGTTTCTGTGCGGTTTTCTGTGTTTATGTACAGGTAGAGGCCTTGCCACGAGCTGATCACCCGCCCAAGGAGTCCTACCGAATGTGTAAGATCTAGAAAAACCGAAGTGAACGGAGAAGTTCATGGAGGTAGGCCTAGGCCCACTGGGGCTGTAGTGCCAAGGAAAAAGAAAGACGATAGACAAATGAACAATGCAGTGGTCTCCCCAGAAGTAAAAGGAAAATTCTCTGATGACGGTCCATGTGCGGCTGAAACATGTTATAAAGTGAGAAGAAACGAGAGGCATTTTAGTAATGTGAAGATCACTTTTAGTGTCTTAATGACATTGTATGATTTTAAAAAAATCGTAAAGTATTAAAGTTGCACTTATAATGAGAAACATATTTTAGATGTCTTTTATATTTAAGAAAATACTGTTGCATTATTGACGGGTGCAATAATAATAAGGATAATGTACAATGCAACGGGATGCTGAAATATAATATGTCAAGTTTAATGTCCCAAGATATTGAAATAACAGTACATAATTAATACGATGGTTTGTTAGCTACAGAGAAGTCCCTTGTTGGATATGTGGGACTTCTGGTTTGCACTTACTTTTCTGCCTTCTGGCCACCACTTCCATTCACAAGCTGAGAATCAGGTTTACCTCTATGTGGAAAGGTAAGTATCTACATAAGATGTACGTGACAAAAGCAAGGAAATAATGAAATCATTTGCCTCTGGCGTTGTTCACTTTTTTTGTGTATGTGTTTCATAGGATTACTTCAATGGCTTGAAGAACAGATTCATCGGTCGTCGAACCCATAACCTAGTCACTGTACCGACTGCACTGTCCCGCCTCCAGTTTTGGTTGCGAACGCACCAAAAGAAGGAATTTAGTTCTGTCTGTGAGTAATATACATTAACTCATCTTTAATGCTACTTTAACATTTTCACAGTGATGTGAGAAACATTAGTAATATCAGTAAGGTCTGGGAACTCCTCACCGCGCGAAGTTCTGTGGTAAGGTCACTCTGTGTCGTGTTTGTTTTGAGGGGGAAATCAGTCAATGACCGACCTAGAGCAAGTGGTTCTGCCGCTTCGCTAGACGGAAGAACTTGAAGTGGAAATTAAAGCGAATGATGAATGGACGTGCTTAAACTGCTGCTCTGACTCAGCAGAGGCCTTTAATGCGTTCTTTGTACAGACTACCTAGAATGAAGGCGTAATAGAGAGGTCAGATTCGTCTATCTCTGAGAATACTGAAAGCAATTGTCTAGTGGGTAGCACTCTCTATTCAGGAGGTTCTTGGATCGTGTTTCGACCCGGAGACTGAGTACCTGCTGTGGGTAAAATGGAGGGAAGAAATACTTCCGAAACATTAGTGTCCATCTATCAGGTAACGGTGTTGCGCTCAGGGGACCAGAACCTTGAGGAGGTTTCCAGTATTACTTACTTATGGAGCTGAGCCCTTCTTGAGGAGAAGCCAAATCTACAGCTACTCAAGATTTCCCAGTATTTTACGGAACCCGAAGGTTCATTACCATGTTCACAAGAGCCCTCCACTGGTCCCTATCCTGAGACAGATCAATCAAATCCATACCATCCCATCTATCTCTCTAAAATCCATTTTAATATTGTCCACCCACTTACGCCTTGTTCTTCCCAGTGGTCTCTTTCCTTCTGGCTTTCCCACCAGTATCCTCTTCTTCCCATTCGTGCTACATGCCCTGCCCACCTCATGTTCCTTGACTTGATCATTCTAATTATACTTGGAGGAGAGTACAAGTTATGAAGCTCCTCATTATGCAGTTTTCTCCAACTTCCTGTCACTTCATCTCTCTTCGGTCCAAATATTCTTCTCAACACCCTGTTCTCAAACACCCTCAGTGTTTTGTCTTCTCATCTGCTGTTCAAAAACATAAAAATTAGAATGTACAAAACTATAATTTTGTGTGTGGTTCTGTATAGGTGTGAAACTTGTCTCTGATGTTAAGGGAGGAACAAAGACTGAGGGTGAAGAAAGTCGTCTTGTGGGATCTGGCGCCGTGTATTCTTGGTTTTAACCGACGTTTCGGAGGAACGTATCGCCTCCATCTTTAGGGCAGGTGTATCGCGATGCGAATACAGAGAGCAGTAGCTCAAAACTTACAAAGACTGAGGGTGTTTGAGAACAGGGTGCTGAGGAGAATATTTGGACCGACGAGAGATGAAGTGACAGGAGGTCGGAAAAAACTGCATAATGAGGAGCTTCATAACTTGTACTCTTCTCCAAGTACAATTAGAATGATCAAATCAAGGAGGATGAGGTGGGCAGGACATGTAGGACGCATGGGGAAGAAGAGGAAGTCATTAAGAATTTTGGTTTCAAAGCCAGAAGGAAATAGACGACTAAGAAGACCAAGACGTAGGTGGGAGGATAATAATAAGATGGATATTGGAGGCATAGAATGGGGTTGTATGGAATGGATAGATGCTGCTCAGAACAGATACCAATGGAGGATGTTGTTCCATGAAATATTGGGCAAATTCTTGAGTAGCTGAGCGACTGATGGCTTCTCTAGAAGTCCTCAGCTCCACAAATTAGTTATTCGATGTCACCTAA